GAACAAGTTCCTGCCATTACAAAGTCTCTGAGGCTGTAATTGTATGGGGTGTGTGCGCGCACCTATGTTTTCCACGGCATGGAGCCATAGCAAGGATGGGCTCTGGAGTCATTGCTGGCTGCACGCCGTGGAAAACATAGGCGCACGTGCACACCCCATACAATTACAGCCTCAGAGACTTTGTAATGGCAGGAACTTGTTCTCACTCGCCCGGGCTTCTGCAGAAACTTCCTTCTGAAGCCCTCCGAGGGAGGAAGGGCCAGTTGGGAGAGGGACTTTGGTCCTGCTTCAGGCTGTAATTATGCGGGTGTGCCCGTGCCTATGTTTTCCATGGCATAGAGCCACAGCTGGAAAACGAGGAACATGAGAGGGAGCACAGAGGCCTCGTTGTCCCCAAAGAGGGCAGATGTGGTGGCATCAGTCTTGGGATGTTCTGCCCAGGAAGCCCCCCCCCCCAGGAAAAAAATTTAACCAGGCCGCTGTCAGAGAGAAGAGGACAGCGTGCACCTGTGGGCTTGTGCAACAGCCGAATCCTGGTCTCCTGTTCCTTCTTTGGCTATTGCACAAGCCCACATGGCATGCACTGCCCTCTTCTCTCTGACAGCTACCTCGTTTCCAATGGAGGTGGTGGGGAATGCATGCCTTTTCCTCGCTATCCATGGATTTCCCACCCCCGATTGGTAACAAGGTGGCTGTTGGCAGGGCAAGCCTGTGCAGACAGGTGAGGCAAGTGAGCGGCGACTGGGTTGGGGGGGAGCGAGCAAGGGGACAGGCAATGGGAGGGGGCGTTCCAGTATGCGGCCTCCTGAAGAACAGGTACTGGAAGACACACTAGAATTGACCAATGGGTATGTGCGTGCCGGGGCGTATCCCATGAAACCACCCCTGGTGCTGTGGCAGAAAAGGCTCTCCTCTTGGGCCTGTCAGTTTATGTGTTTTTGTGGATAGGACCCATAACATGTACCTCATGCCAGCGTTAATGGCATCTTGCCATAGAGGCTTTATAGGTCATCACCAGTACCTTGAATAGAACCTGGATAGTGAGGCTCACAGAATAGAAGTATTACCTGTTCTGATGGAGGAGCACACTTTGCATCTGTAGCTCCTGAATGTTCTTCACAGACAGCCCCATGTAGAACATGCCATTGTATAGTAATCTATTCTGGAGGTGACCAGGGTATGAATAACTGAGAATAGAGCCTCCTGATCCATGGCAAACACAAAACAAAATACTAATTTCAAATTAATTAATATTACCTGTTGTGTTTTCTCCCAATTCTAATCCAAGGGATGGATTTGTTAAAATTAGTTGGAATCTCTCATCTCTTTCAGGGATCTCATCATCAAAAATTTGAACATCAATATATTTATATCTTTCTCCATCAGCAAAATAAAGAGTCTATTAATGAAACATAGTGTAAACGCCTTTAAATACTGTATGTTGAAAAGCAATGCATACAAATGTACAGAAAAATGTAAATTCTTTGTGAGAATCTACAGAAACATTCAAAAAAGTACGTCATCTTTATAATAGCAATAGCACTTAGACACATATGCCACTTCACACTGCTTTATAGCCCTCTCTAAGCAGTATACAGAATCAGCATATTGCCCCCAACAATCTGGGTCCTCATAATGATAAAATACATACAATAAACATAACTCAGTTACACATCCTAACATCTAACTGTTCTTTGGAAGTTTAAAGACCAATGTAAATGTTTGTGCATAAACAAAGTGTCATGTTTTAATTAAAATAGCCCTAATATTCAGGGTACAATTGCTTATACTTTTCATTGAAACAAAACATTTGATGCTATGGAAAAATGGTTTTCGGTGATGGTTTGTTCTTACCCTTGAAGAAAGATTAAAGTCCAGTCCCTGATATGCTTCCAGATTCTGAGCATACAAGAATAAGGACACATTACCATACAATCCTCGGTCCCGGAATATCACTAATGTTAAGTTTACATTCAGTTCACTTATTTCAAACCTGAAGGAAAAAAGAAAAGTTACCTATTTATTTAAATAAATTATTTAAGTTACTTAAATACTTATTGGCTAACTTATCAAAGAGTTCTAGGAGGCTTAAAACAAATGGGCATCCAAAATAAAAGCAAAACATTAATGTATCAAAAGCAAAATAGCATCCCTGATTCATTAATTATCACAGTCATATCATCCACTATGTGCAAAGGCAACATGGAAAAATGTACTTTATTGCTTTTCAAGATGATAGTAAATTATAATATGGAAGGTGTAATTTTAACTCAGAGGAACAGCTGTTGAGGCTGAGGGGGTAATGACCAAGAAAGCTTGTATCTAGACACCCACCCTTTTAACATCTCTGGTACAGTCATCTATAGTATCCCTTCCCAGTTTACATTTGTCAAGCAGATGGATTCTACTTGGGCCATATTACTCTGGAAGTAAGAAATATCCAAATTACAAAAGGCTTCAGAAGTGACAAGGAACACTTTGAATTGGGACCAAAAGTCTACAGCTACTTAATGAAACTCACACCAGATTGGCATTATCCTGCTGTAGCATCTTCTACCATTCAGTGTGTGTGGGGAGGAGAGGAGGGGGAGGCTGAATTATGCACAAGTTGTATCTTTAAGGGAAACTCTATATAGAATGACTTGTAGTCCTCCAAATGTGAGTGATAAAGGAATGAGTTACTGTACTGCTGCTAAATCCTTCAAGAAAGATAGTACAGCCACTATCCCATGAATGGACTAAAGAATTCGGGAAATTCTTTAATGGAAAAAAGAATTTTTATTTCTCTCCTTACATTCCCACCCAGCTGACATAAATTTGACTGAAAAAAATGCAGACTTTTACAGCACATTTAAGGGGCCTGGAAAATAATACAAGACAGAAAATTTCAGACATCAGGACTGGTGGATGGACCCAACTGAATAAAAGCATATTTTTCAAAGGATATACCCATAATCCTTGGAAACTTGGAGCTTGATTATGCCAGAAACTTTGTATATTATACGTATGGGTATTTGTTTATCTTTGTGCATGTGTGAGGGCTTTTCTTTTTCTACTCAGACTCTAAAATACCATATTTTTTGGAGTATAAGACGCACCGGAGTATAAGGCGCACCCAGGTTTTGAAGACGCTTTTTTTTAAAAAAAAGGTTTTTGCACTCTGCAAACCTCCCCAAAACGGCCCATTTTTTGTGAAACAGGCCTGTTTTTTAAAAAAAAAAATTGCATGCATAGCCTTTAGGAGACTTATAGCATATTCCTGGGGGCTGGGATGGACAAAATTAAGCAAAAATGGCCTGTTTTTCACTCATTTCTGCCCTCCCCAGCCCCCAGGAGCTCTCTGAAAGCCTTCTACAGGCTCTGCATGGCCATTTTGGTGAACGGGTGGGGCTTCGAGAAGCAAAAAATGCTGTATTCAGTGTATAAGACGCACCCAGATTTTCAGCCTCATTTTTGAGGGGGAAAAGGTGCGCCTTATACTCCGAAAAGTACGGTACCTGACTCAGTCTGCTATTATTCTTATGCTAGAAGTGGGTGATTACTTGGCTCTCCAAATTGCATGGCTATTGTCCGGCAGGTTCTGCCCTTTATGACCTTCATTTTAAAACACATTATCTGACAGCCTGTTTCTTGAGTTGCAAGGTCAGAATTTATTAAGCCCTGCTACTCTAATTTATAATCTGATTCATCAGAAATGCTCATTACATACATCCTTTTTCAAATGTTATCATTTGTGTCAGCATTTTCATAATATTTTTTTCCTTACTTATCTCCTGAAAATCATAATCACCCTTTACCTAATGTGTTGATGGGTATTCTATAGTATTTTCTACACCTTTCTCAGCTAGATGCTGCCCAGTATTTGGTGATCTTCTTCCACAGATCTGTTTAAAGCTACTCTGCCACTTTTTTACTGGAAGGGACCAGCAGCATGGTTCCATTTTGGTTCAAGTAGCATCTCTCTTTTGTACAGATGTGTTTTCAATATTTAATATATATAAAACACTCCAATTCATGCCACCATCTTATCTACACTTTGAGATTCTTGAAACTGCCTATAGCACTTAAATGTAAATTAGCTACATTCCTAATAAGGATACCTTGGTTATCCTGGACTACATAAGAGCCCATATTTGGCTTCCAGGACTGGCTGACTACATTTCCTACTGTCTTTGGTGCCATCATGATTCATCTCAAAAGGTTTCAGCTGAACAAAGTAACAATTTAAGAAAATGAAACGTGAATTGAAAATTAAGCTTACCTTGTAGTTTGCCAACTTATTACTCCTCTTGCTCCATCATTAGCATCAATAATTATCTGTGCTGTTAAACCATCCATGTCTAAAAATAGCAAGAAAATTATTTTGCACAGTAATATGGATCTATAAATTAACACTTAGATGTACAAGGTAAATTATTATGTATAATATCAATGTATGCATAACGTTAGCTAACTATAATTCTTCTCAAATGCTTCTGGAAAAAAGTAGAATATTAATGAATACAATTAAGTAATTAAAATTACTAAAGAAGAAAGAGATTCAACTATTCCTAAATGTTCTCTTTGCTATCAATGATGAACACATCTTAAACCTATTGGCACATTTTTTCTATTTATCTTGTAGTAAATTAACCAAGTCGGTTCTGTAGAAATGCAAAATGATGTTCAAATTGAAAACATTAGAATATAGAGCACCAGTAACAGGAAACATGATGTATCTTGGAAATACTGAACAAAATCAAATTTAATATACCAGCCTAAAGTTGATGAAGAATTATAAATTGAGATTTTGGCGCCTGAAGCAAATATTGGAGTTTTCTTCCCTTATGTTTCTAAGGCTCTTATATCACACTGATGTTTGCAGAGAACATGAATGAGATATTTGCTAATGCTGTACATGATGCACATGCCATTTTTAAAATAAAATAACCATTGGTTGATTTAGTAGATGTCCTACTGTAGAACAGTAATGTGGGATCATGCATCAGCACACTCTTCCTCTACAATAAACAATATTCACTATTGTAACTAATAAAAATGGTTTCTTATTATCTGTGATTGATTAAATTTACTTCTAAAATGCCATTGACAAGTCTACTGTTAGCTTTATTTTTTTTTAGAAAAGTATATTTTGAAAGTTTGCATAAAGAGAGTAACAAATATTTTTATATATATTAACATGGGTGCAAAGTATTTTTAAACTGTACAAATTTGATAGAGAAATATAAAGAAATCATGAAAGAAAGTTGTAAGATTTCTACCAAGTCTGGGAGGAAAAGATGTCAAAGGATGTGTGACTAGTTTCACAGATGTTAGATTAATAAAAAAATATTCTTGCATTTCTGGAATATCATCCTGTAAAACAAAAAGACAACACAGGTTCATGTTATTGTCCACTTGAAAATTACTTCTAAATTAGCAGAAGTAGTTTATTTTGCACTTAAAATATCTATTATGTCTAACTACCATCCTCATTCCTAATGGAATTACTAGACCTGAAGAATTTTCATGTTATGCATGTCAAATGAAATATTACAAATTTTAAAATAATATAATACGAGCCAGGCTTGTTTCCAACCGCAAGATTTACTACAAGTACTATAATCAGGAAATGAAACAGAAAAAATATGGAACAATGCATTATTCATGTTAAAGATTATAAAATGTGGCACATGGTAGTGAAACCACTGTAATGAAACAGATTTATTCCACTTGTATAAATCTAACTTCTCTGTTTGTGATTAACTGTTCCTCTTGGATTTTTCCATCAACCAATAGAGCAAAGAATTTTCCCATGAACATTAGAAATTATGGCCTAAATCCTGCATTCATCTAAATTAATCTCTCTCTCTCTTTTTCCTTTACTGAGTGGAATTAAAATTTACCTCTAGAATAGTAATATTTATGGTGGCTGTTGTTACACCTTCTTTCAAAACAACTGATCCTGATATAGGTATATAATCAACTCCTGGTTCAGCATATGCCCCTTCTGTCAGATTCTTTAAACCAAGAAATTCTGAAATTGTTGTGTAGGTTACATTGACAACACCTGGTAAACATATAGATTTCAGATATAAATACACCTATATTTTATAACGAATAAAAACATCAAGTAATGATTTGTATATCATCACATATCTATATTTGAATACCAGACATGTAAGACATGCAACTAAAGAGGCAGTGTAATGCGCTTCTGTCCAGCATTATAGCTACATCTTTGACTTATATCAAGATGCTTCTTTTATTTGTCCATTATACTTGGATTTTGACAATAATATCATGCTCAGTACCCATGCCCATGGAACATGGTATTTCATGCCTACTGGGAAGCTTTTTAAATTAAAAATCTTTAAAAAAAAATTAAATTAAATTTTAAAAATTAATTTTGTGTAACAACTTTGTGTATTTTTTTCAAATGTCTGCATTTTTCTAAGCTTGCTGTTTCTCCTGTTTGCAGTTATTATTTATAATATCAGAGGTCTCTTAGAAAATTACAGCTAAGGTGAAGTGTAACATTTAAAAAATGACTACTATATTGTGCATCTGCTTTCTTTTAATAGTAAAGTGAAGTATAGTGATTAAGACATAATGATCACATAAAGATATAAATATCACAGTATAATATATTAGTTTTTGAAAATGTGCAAATATTTAGGTATTTGATATCTAGGACTCTCTACCTTCTTTCTTATATGTTAAGGAAGGCCATTGAATGTTCAGAATTCTGCTGGTTAGAACTGCAAAAAGCAGAAAGCACTGTCTTTTTGCTATATTATCTCATTATGATATTCTTTTCATAAAAATCCCTCCTATCTGTATCATTTTAGTAAAAGTTTAGAAAACCCACTATTTAAATTAAAATTTCATCAATTCTCAAACAAGACTCTCCCAGCTTTTTCCATCATTTCTTTTATCACGTGAAAGGAAAAGCCATTTACAACATTGCAATTAAGTACTTAAGAGAATAGTGTACTTCAGTATATTTATGTATGTGAATAAAAAAAGCTTGTTGGGTGCTAATATCTACATTCTAGCCACTATTGATACATGGTACCTAATATACCTGCTCAGAATCAATTTAGCTCTTAGATTGAAAATATATTCCTTTTTCAGAGTTTCAGATTTATTTATTTGGAAGTTGATGCATTTTCTTCTGCTTTTATCACATAATACTGTGAAACATCATGGGTAAGAAAGTAATAATAATGAAGCTGTATATAGAAAAATATGTTTTAGAGCCTACATTTTTCTATATACAAACCTAAAGATCCAAATTCTCTGTTGATGAAAAGTTGAATTGTCTTATTTTCCTCTTGGATTAATACAGTTCTGGAGGAAGATGCAAAATTCAGAATGCCATATGGTTCATCACTAGCCTCTACTGTCAAAGCTGCTTCATATCCTTGATGGTCCAAAATAGCACTGCCAGTTGAAGTGATACCTAAAAATAAATTAAAAAATGATATTAAAAAGCATGGTTCCTCATAGGAAAGTGCTGTTTAATTTAATAGAAAAAATGTTTGGTGGTATATGGCAAAAGATATTCCAGTATGTTTTTCATAAAACCATGATCTATTAATCTTTCCATTCCATTGTTCTGCTCTCTATGTACAATGATCGTGACAGCATACATGGCAATTTTCCTCCTTCTTCCCACATAAAATAATCACATATTGGGCTAGAGAAAGCTAGTTGGTTATATCATATTATGATAAAATATCATAAAAAGTAATAAAGAAGATTATGTTTATCATGATTATCAGACATCGTATCTTATTTTTGGAATCAAAAGAAAATTGTGTCCAAAGATAATTTCCTCCATAGTATATAAAACAATTGTCCTCAAAATCTGGTAGACTACCATAATTTCTGATTTAGAGGACTAATAAAGGAGAATATTTGTAGCTCAGGGTTTGAAATGAGGGGTCCTTTTTGCTCTCTGAGCTTGCTTGTTTTCTTGCAGATGTTTCATTACCCAAACTAGGTAACATCCAAAGGTGGTATTCAGCAGGTTCTGACCAGTTCTGGAGAACCAGTAGCAGAAATTTTGAGTAGTTTGGGGAACTGGTAAATACCACCTCTGACTGGCCCTGACCCCATCTACTCTCTGCCTCCCGAGTACCAGTTGATCAGGAGGAAATGGGGATTTTGCAGTAATCTTCCCCTGGATTTGGGAGGGAATGGAGATTCTACAGTATCCTTCCCCTACCACACCCACCAAGCCATGCCATGCCCACCACACCACATCCACAAAACCGGCAGTAAATTTTTTTGAATCCCACCACTGGTAACATCATCAGTGCTAGTAAGGGGGGAGCTGAATGATGTTATTTAGTTTGGGTAATGAAATATCTGCAAGAAAATAAGCTTGGAGAGCAACAAGGACTCCCCCCACCTTAGATAGGACTTTGGTTTGATCCAATATCCCTGTTAGATGAAGCATTAAATGGTTCTTTGCATCTGTGAACAGACTTAACTCAGACAGACTTTTCATGGCATTTCAGACTGATGGATTTTACCCGCTAATATATTCATCTTCAGATTACAAAGTATTAAATAATCTGGTCATCATGTATGACCCAATCTTGATTTGCTATATATCTACAAGACAGATACCTTGAGTTTTAATATTATGCAGAATTATGTGATATTCTTTCTTTTCTTCAGGGATCTTATCATCCAGCAGGTATAAATAAATTGTTGCATTTAATGACCCCTATTTGTTAAAGCAAAAAAAAAGGACAATTATGTAACAACTATAATAGCACAGGTAGTCCTCAACTTACGTTTGTTCAAAGTTACAACGGCAGTGAAGAAAGTGACTTATGGCCATTTTTCACACTTACAACCTTTGCAGCATCCCTGTAGTCACATGATCAACATTCATATGCTTAGCAGCTGGTTCACATTTAGGATGGTTGCAGAGCCCCAGGGTCATGTGATGTTCTGACAAGCAAAGTCACTGGGGAAGCCAGATTCACTTAACAACCATGTTACTAACTTAACAATTGCAATGAGTGGCTTAACAACTGTGGCCAGAAAGGTCATAAAATGGGGGAAAACTTACTTTACAAATGTCTTACTTAGCAATATAAATTTTGAGCTCAGTTATGGTTGTAAGTTGTAACCTGTAAAACATTGAAACTCATTTCTACAAATCACCTTTTCATCTGCTAAGTTGTCCTATTACAAATAATACTAGCCTGGACTATTTTCAGGAGAGGTACATTGAAAGGTCTTCCTTATTAAGAACATTCCATTATTAAAAGCTCTTAAGGGGCACAAAGTTACTGTGACATTCACAACTTACCAGAGTCTGCAGGTTTCAGGATATAACAGATTAATACCCAAATATTATATTTTATTCTAGCAAAAGCTTAGTGGGCTTGTAAAACCCACTAAGGTACAGTGGTAAACGCTTAGAAATAAATCCCACTTCATTAGTCTAAATATAGCTGAACAGATATGTATAATTTTACATTGCAAATAAGGCAATAAAGTTGTCTGTCCATCTGTTCTCAAATCAAGTGCAACTATTCACACTTTCTTTTTATTATGGTATCTGAAGCAAATAAATGATAGCTACCTCTAAAAAATAAAGCGTGCCAGAAATATTTTCAAAGTTTTGTTCCAGATTATGGCCAACAATTTTCCAGTCAACAGTTACATTGCCAGCTCCTGGTGCAGTCCTTAGCACATGAAATTGTAATAGCTCTCCTAGAAATTAAAGAATACATAATATCATAAGAAATGAAGGAAAGCCTATATATTATTTGCATCTAAGACAATAGAATGTTCTAAACAATTAGAACCTTCCATTAGTTTGTTTCAAAGATAAATATATGCCCTTCTGATAAATCATTTCCATTATCTTGATTTGCTGTCAAATGACTGTAATATATGTAAATCAAAAAGAAACTACAAGTTTTATCTGTTTATCTCCTTATCTACCTACCTAACATTTATTTAACTGTAATACCTACTCTAAAATTACTGACTTAAATAAAATAAAAACTATTATCAGCAAATGCAAAGTATGTTCATCACAATATATTGCTCAAGTATTAAGGTAAACATTTGTTGTATATATTATACAACTGCAGTATATTTCATCAAGGATAACAAACGCCAGCCTTTTTCTCATTCATGTGTTTTGAAGTATGTCAGAATATGGAGAATTGGTGATAAGCAGAAGTATAAAAATGTGCAATTACTCACACACTGCACATTTGTATATTTTTCCACAATATTAATTTCTAGGGATAGAAAAAAAATTTAAGGGATAAATTGATCAAATGAAGGCAAATAAATTGATCAAATTCTTCTTTCTGTTTTTCTGAATAATAAATTGATCAAACTGAGAGAAAGTCTAAACTCAGATTAATATTAATAGCTCACAAAGAAAGGGAAGTGAAAATGGAGATAAACCCACCTTCATGAGCAATTACAGATCTTGAGGATGTTTGAAAACTAAGAATTCCTGCTACGTTGTCATTGGCTAAAATCACCACTGTGACAGTATCTGAAGTGGGTAAAATACGGCTACCACCTTCAGTGTGGGTCAAAGTGATGTGAATGCTTTCATCATCTTCGGGCTCAGTGTCGTCTAGAATAGTCAAAGTGATGGGCTTTTTTGTCTCACCTGATAAGAAAAATTAGAGCACTTTATGATTATGTAGCAACCTTTCCAATGTTTAGAACACTCATTTCACTTACATAAACAAAGCAGCTTTCTAAATACAAGCATATAAACAAAGCAGCTCTAGTATGTAATACTATTTAAAACTGTTTCTTAATTCCCCTATAAATTTTGGAAAAAATAGTATGAAATCATTTTAAGACACCACATTTCAAGTGGCATGAAATAATCTATATTTAATGCATTTAAAATGCCAGAATTCAAACTGTAATTTATGAATGATAACCTTCAGAGAGATGTCATGAGTATTTTCCTTACAATCTTCCCATAAGTAATTATAAAGCTTGATATATGGCAATGATTATACAGGACAGTAGCATATTGAGTTTTCATTAAAGGATTCTCTCAAATTTCTTACCTTCTGCAAAAATCAGGACTTCTCCATCACCTATAAAATCCAGATTTGGGGTAGCCGTGCCACCACTAATGCTCCATTCCACCATCACCTGCCCCAGACTACCTTCTGTTCTATGTATCATCAACTGCACTGTATTCTGAGGCTGTTCTTGTACTTCCACATAAAGACCATTCTCAGTTGTATGGGGACTAGTGCTATAAATTACAAACACACCAAAAGCATCCCCATTCATTAGTATGAGAACCGTAGCGGTGTTTGGTTGCCCTACGACTGGTTGATTTTCAATGCTGGCAATGACATTCATCAGCCCAATTTGTAACAAAGAAATGGCAAACTTCTCATCCAGTTCTGGAAAACCATCAGGTAATATGGAGACTGTGAGGTTTGCAAATTCTTCTCCTTCTTCCATGATCACCCACTGACTGGTTACAGGCTCATAGTCATTATTAGCAATTGCTTGTGTACTGAAAATAGCAGTTAAAGTAGTAAGATTTTTCTTGTATATCCAGAATCCGGACTTGTTGGTTATTGAGCTACTCCAAGATCCCACCCAGAAACATGATGGAATTTCAGAAGTACCAGAGAAATAAAAAGCTGAGCAGGCCTGTTCTTTCAAACAAAGAATAGCACAAGTGTAGAGAGAATCATTGGCTGGTGAAAGATCCACTCTGGTCACATGACTCTCATCTGGAATTCCTTGTATAGGTTTTTCATAATAGCATAATACATCCAGCCCTTCCTCTTGTACAAGAGTTATGAAATCAATGTCTGAAGTGCTATAAAATATCTTCAGCTGACCAAATCTTCCACCACTACAAATTAAATAAATGACAAATTAAATAATGATTAAAACAGTTTTCTTGATATAGTTGTATTGTTATAGTTAAATTTGAAGGGGTAGGGAATGCAAAAGTTAAATTTGATATCATCATTAAATTTGAGGGGGTGGGGAATGAAAAATATAAATAAAAACAAAGCATAACTTTGAACTCTTATGTTTTAAAATTTATTTATTAAATTTATTAATTAAATATAGTTATATGCCACCCAATCCCGAAGGATACATTACAACAGGGATGTCAAACTCAAGGCCCATGGGCCGGCCGTATTTGGCCCATGGGGTGCTTAGATCTGGCCCGCAGGGCCATCCTAGAAACAATAAAGGACTGGTCCGTGGTGCCTCTGTCAGTGAAAATGGAGCTTTGTTGGGGGCATATGTGGCCCTCTTGAGCTCTGTTTTTACTGGTAGAGGGTTGCAGGAGGCCGTCACAGCCAAAAATGAAGCTTGGGAACCCATTTTTGCTGGAAGAGTACTCAGGCCACCACAGACACCCCAGCACGAGTGATGTTGAGCTAGTCACACCCATCATGGCCAGGCCCTCCTCCAGCCCCCCAAGGTCAAATGAAACTCTGATGCGGCCCTCAATGAAATTGAGTTTGACAGCTCTGTTTTACAGGATACTATAACCTTACTTCAGATGCTTGGGATGAAAGGCAGAAAGGGAAGCTAAGAAATAGTGATTAAAGGAAGAACATTTTCCCTAGGTTTTACATTTTTTTAATTTTGGGGAAATAATTAGATGTGGGGGCTTATATGTTCTAAGTTTATTCAGACTAGAAGTCCTCTCCATGATTTTCATTCAAGACCATTTCCTGGTGTCCTTATTTCTAAACTACATTCATTGGGATTTTCTGATTAATTTGTTCTGCCTTCCCTGAAATGCTTAATTGGCAACATGTTTCTCCTACCTTAGAATACAGTCAGGGCTTCTAATATTCATGTTTAGACACACATATGTAAAACAGCAACTATCATAGAACATCACCCTTATTGACTTATTTTTTAATATTTATGACTCATAGAACCAGAAAATAAAAGTTATTATTTTGCAATGATACTGTTGATGTGTTAGGTATCCCTAACTACAACCTGTTCTCATAGTTTTACACCAAATATCTGGATGCAAATAGCAATAGCAGTTAGACTTATATACCACTTCACATTACAAATAATTCATATGTATATTCGTATAGCATATTCATCTGCTAACAGAGAATTTTGCATTCATTTTAAATCTAGGGGAGGTATATAAATATATATTAGATATATTTATATCTAAAATATATCTAATATATTTTATTATATATGTATCTATTAATGCTTACAAATCAAGAATATGCACAAACACAGATACATTTAATTAAAATTAATATATGATACACGCAGTGATGTGCAGTCAGATGAGGCAGAAGAGGCACAGCCTCACCGCTCTCATCATGAAAAGAAAAAAAATGTAAATGACTGCCTCACTTTTTTTAAAAGCCTCTAAAAAGTGCCCTCTACAATGAAACAGGAGAGCTGCATGTCTCATCTAGTCTGACTTTTTAGGTATTTTATCATCGCTCAAGCAGAGTTAAGTCCCGAGGTAGGTGAGATATGCAGTTCTCTTGCCTCATAGTAGAGGGCGCTCATTCTTCCTGTGACTCAACGGCACCGCTGCTACCCGTCTACCCTTTTTCTTCCCATCACACTTGCGATACAGTGATAATAAAGGGGAAGCACCTTCATGTCTTCATTGATTTCCCTTTTTATGGGATGAGCCAGCTTCCTGCTTCTTTTATTTTCTGGAGGTCTCATTACTTTCTCCATTTTTACCATTTTTTATTTTTTTGTTTGATGTGTATGCATGTGTGTGTGTGTGTGTGTGTGTGTGTGTATCATGCATGTGTGTGTATATGTATCTACTTTGGTGGAGATGAAATGGCTGCTGGTATTATTTGGGAAAAAGCTTTCGGGGGAAAGGTTGTGGAGAGGAAGGGAGGGAGGACGGGAGTGGCTTTTAGCGCTGATTTGTTTCCCTCTCTTTTCTCTCTCTCTCAGTCTCTCCCTTCAGCACTCTTTCATTTCTCTCTCCCTCTCCCCCTTCTCTCTCTGTTTCCCTCTCTTTTCCCTCTCTCCCATTCTCTCCTTCCATCTCTCTCTCTCTCTTTCTTTCTCCCCTTTTCTTTTCATCTCTTCCTTGCGCATGCAAGCAAAATACTTTTCTGGACTGGGATCACGGCGGTGGGTACAGCGACTCCTTCCACTGCAGCCACTGAGAAGTGAATACCTGGCTGCGCTGCGGAGAAGAGCCATGCTGTGCAGGAGACTCCTTAGCGCTAGATTCAGGTCAGTGCGAGCCGCGGTCCCCTTCATGTTGGCTCAGGAAGGAGGGGAATGGGGCTGCGACTCATGCTGACCTGAGTCTAGCACTAAGGAGTCTCTTCTCCACAGCATACCAGGTGTTCACTTTTCAGTGGCAGCAGTGGAAGGAGTCGCTGTCCCCACCGCCGTGATCCCGGTCCAGAAAAGTATTTTGCTTGCATGCGCGAGGAAGAGATGAAAAGAAAAGGGGAGAAAGAAAGAGAGAGAGAGATGGAAGGAGAGAATGGGAGAGAGGGAAAAGAGAGGGAAACAAATAAGAGAGAGAAGGGGGAGAGGGAGAGAGAAATGAAAGAGAGCTGAAGAGAAAGAATAAGAGAGAGAGCAAAGAGGGAACCAAATCAGGGGGAAAGAAAGGAAGACAAAAGAAGGAAGGAGGAAGGAAGGAAGGAAGAAAGGAAGAAAGAAAGAAAGAAAGAAAGAAAGAAAGAAAGAAAGAAAGAAAGAAAGAAAGAAAAGAAAAGAAACTTTTTCAGACCTATGACGAACGCAATGGCAAGCTAGATCTCTTGCCAAGAAAACTATAGTTTGCCAGAAGACACAAATTGGAAGCAAGTCTGATTTTTAACAAGAAAATAACAGAGATGGCAAAAAAATGCATCTGAAAATAGGATTATTTATAATTTTGGATAACATATTATATTGTCACACTCAAAAAGCTTTTGATACTTAATTGTCATCATCATCATCATCTCTCTCTCTCTCCTCCCCCCCTCAGAGGGACTGTCGTCCCTTGTAGAAAACACAATAAGGAACTCTTTGGCTCCTTGCTCCCCCCCAAATCTCTTTTTTTGTTGTTGTTGGCCACCGCTCTTGCCTGCCACCCCTTCGAAATGCGCAAGGATGGGACAAAACGGCATGAATCCTTTTATTAAAACCCCCTGTATTAAAAAGGCATTTTAATAAAAAGATTGTGATGATGTCAGTGCCTCACCAGCCATAAACCTCACCGCATGTGACTGGATACATACTATTTGAAAAATAAAATTACATTCAGTAGGAATTACTGCTTTCAAGGAAACATTTATTAGATAAGCTGCAGAATTCTCTTCCTTGTAGCAAAATCTTTACATGCCTCTAGCAATTTCAAAAGCAATCATGGTAAAATACTTTAGTATTTTTAGTAGGTTTTTGAGTTTGTGTTGGTTTATTCAAAAAGATTGCCTCATTCTTATCTACAAAGAGTTTTCTCCATTAAACTGTAAATTGTAATATATTGCCATAAATACAGCGAAACAAAGTGATTATTAGCCATAACCTAGTAAGGTATTAGGGTATTAAACAGACCTCCTCTTTACTGTTATGTTTGCAGTTGAACTTCTCTCCAATGGCTCTTGAATACGATATACGTTTTGTTGAAAGGATACTGTTCCATATGGCTTATCATTGGCAGGAATCACAACATTTGCCACTCTGTCTAGTCCAATAGTACCTCCATTGGAAGCCTGGGTTAATTCCACTCTGATAATCTGTGATGTATTTTGGACAAACAGTTTGGTGCATAAAAATATCATTAACTGTAAGGTTTGATTCCAAAATTAAACATGGACACAAAATTCCTAAACCAAATGTAAGTTCTTATTGAGATTCAAGCTATTAACAATTTAAAATGTAAATTTCTCTCACAACTTTGCTCAAGAAAGTTCTAGTGATACACAAGGAAACAATTTTCACCCCTTCTCAGTATAGTTTTTGAAAAATTGCTCTAAATGGTAAGAGACCTAGAGATCAACATTCAAGAACTGGGAATTCAGCAATTATTTTATCCTAGCAAAAAGTTTTCTGATCCCTGCTCTCCCCACATATCAATGGACATTTCCATTTTCAATAGCATTATTATCATTATCATTACCATTATTCCATAGTATTGCATTTTTACAAGTCCAATACTTGTACCTGTGATTTTTATGAACATCACTTTTAAAATAAACACACTCACATAGTTCTTCTTTTCACATTTTGTCTTATTTCTCAGCTTACCTCTTCAATTTCTGGAACATCATCATTCAGAATCTCTAATATCAAGTTCTTTATGGTTTCCCCAGGGGAAAATTGAATGTTGCCTAAGAAGACTTTCAAATCACTGGCAGCAAATTGCCCATCAATGGTAGCAATCCATTCAACAGTTACATTGCCAAGTGTTCCAGCGTTGCGAATAACTGGCAGATCTATCAGCACTGTATTGGCTTCTGGTTCTTTGACAACTATATTAGTGGTCTGGAAAACTAACAACATGAAGCTTCATTTTTTTTCACTGTAATTTATTTTTTCTGTTCGTTACATACTTTTAATACATAAATAGAAATTTAATTTTTATAATCAAAGACAAATAATTGGTGGATTTTTAATTATAATTTTGAACAGATCTTCCTAAATTAACAATCAAAGCTTGTATTGTTCACTCCAACAATATTAGAGCCAAAGTGGGGGAACCAATGGAAACCCAGCACCAGAAATAAAGCGCCTGCATTTTTACTGCCCAAATTGACTTCATCCTCATTCAAGCAAGAGGCAGCAGAGTCCACAGAACTGACTATGATGAATATTCAGGTAGAGACAGTACTTATAAATCTTTTACAAATGTCTTTGTTTAATAATCTCTCTTTAACGGGAACTTAAATAATAGAAAAATGAAAAGATTCATGAAATATTTCCAATCCAACTCTAAATGGTATTGAAGAATTTCCGTGCTGGTCCAGAATACTAGTTAGCTCAATCTTTCTCCAACTGTTGGTTAACAAAAGTAAACAATGGTCTAGCCCTTAATATCACTATTTAAATATTTATATTCTAATTTTATTACTAATTGCTTGAATAGGAAGAATACAAACCTTTTAATTAAACTAGAAGACCTCCTAGGTCCCTTCCAACTCTGTTATTTCATTCCATTCCATTCTGTTCTGTTCTATCCCTATCTCTATTATTTCACTCCACTCTAATTTCACCGGAACCCTGTGAAGTAGACTAAGAAGTAGGTTTAAAATAGGGTCTACTCTTCTTCTCTCTCTTCTGATTTGTATTCATCTTGCTTTTGTAAAGTCTTCTATAATACCACAAAAGGATACCCTAATTTCACAGAATGCACAAGAGGCCAGTTTAAGATTTAAGAAAGGGAATCAGAGAGGGGAATAGAGAGAAGGACTAAAGTCTTCTTTCTGGGGATCGCAATACTTCTCATGAAACAAAAAGAGATTACATGGCTTGTAATCTTTACTTTAAGTATTAAATTTTAAATTGTAAAGTCCAGTATAAATGTAATGGCAATAATATACAGTACTTTATCATGGTTTCTGAAGAGGTTTCTTCAAAAAAGGAAGAAGTGGCCAAAGATAAGATAAAATGGTTTGGAAAAAAAAATATTGTTGAGATGAAAGGTAGATTTAAACTTGTTAAATTTATTATGATATTTTTCAATTCATGGATGGTTTTATTAACATTTAAATGCCACCTTACCAAAAGATCCAAATGGATTGTCCGAAGCCTCAATAGTTATCACTGCCTGAATTAGACTCCCGAGTTGTGCTCCGCCTGTTGTCTGATTGAGCAGCTGCACAAGGAAGGACTCCTCCCTTTCAGGGTTAATATCATTAATTATATAAATTGGCACGGCTTTGCTGGTCTCTCCTTCTAGTAAGACAACATCTGAGGAAGCTACGCTGTAGTCTTCACCTGTGTATAACAAAGATGCCTATTCAAAAACATGATGATACTATTTCTTTACATTATTGGAAATTCAGGTCTAATGAGCAGAATCTATGAGAAAAGTTGGAGAATATAGAATATGCTTGAAACAATACCAACTATTTTATCCTATAAAAATATTTGGCATTCATGTTTTAGCCATTCCATATTTCATATTGCTACAACCCAAACCTTCTTTAAAGAGATAATGTTAGCATACGTGGTCTACTGAAAACAAGTACCCAAAATAGTGTGCATATAGATAATTGATATTGTCTGCTTTGATTTTTTTTTCAAAAGCTAGCATGCTTTATCATCAAATTAATTTGTTTTACCATGAGAACAATATATCTGGAAAATTTGAAAAATGATCTCAGGTTAATTAGCACAGTAACAGTTTATATGTAAATTTAAATTAAAACATGACAGAATGATCATGTAAACTTGAATTCAGCAAAGGACTGTACGTGCTATGTTATATGTTTTTCTTTTGCTTATTCCATGCTGAAACATTTCTATATCTTACTACATTATAAAGCCATATTAGCAGATATCAGAATAAAGCTGGTAGGTAAACATTTCAGTCACCTGGCACAAAAGGCTACACTGGATTATATCCTTCCTGCCTCATCTACACATTGAAATGGAAGGCATCAAGAGGGAAGCTTGACCATGTATTAAACTGGGCTACACAATTCAGATCTTTTGCTTCAATGAATGGATACAGTTAGCAAAAATGAGCGATGGGAATGGACCAATGAACACAACTCCATTTTATCATAGATATACGGTAGTTTGAACTGGATGAGCAACAAATGCTCAAATAACAACAACAACAACAAAAGAATTTCTGAACATGCTTAAGGATTTTATGACATGCAGGCATATTCCATATAAAGCTTTCTGATACTATAGTATTCTTGCCATTTGATTATAGCTAAAGTATATGTGCAAAGTTGTGCATTTTTGCCATTGCATTGTAGTCTCTTCACTCTCTTACCAGCAGTTGCTGTAATTGGCACTGCTCTAAATTTCACAGAGACATCTGCAAAGATTCCTCCGGTTCTTGTAACATTGATTATTGGTCCAATATAATTTTCAGGTACTTGGACAGCTGGTGCAGAAAGCTGTAATGTTCCAAAAGCATCATCATTGGCATTGATAATTATATGAGCAATTGTATCAGTAGTAGATCCAAGGCGAGGAGAATCTGAAACTGAAATACAGAAAAATTTGAAGGATTTCCAATTTATTTTTTACAATAACTATAAACTAGAATTTTACAATGAAATAACAACCTTATATCTTCTGTTGTGGAAAGATAAGCATTGGTTTTTGAAGGACATTTGTTCTGATTTGCAGTAATTATAGCAATATTACCGGCACAGTCCAAATATCCATTCATGTACAGTATACAGAGAGAGGAAGATAAATGAGGACGGCGAGGGAATACAGGACCAAAGCAACATTCATGGCTTATTTCTACTGGATTATTACCAGATCAAACATCATTTCAAAAAATACCAGCATGGATAATTTCATTTTTTTATCAAGGTGGTATCTATGTTATGGAAATGTGGGATATGCACATCCTAGTCTACTTGATCTGCTCTAGCTTCAATTATTACTTTCCTCAATTATTCAGTTTATTAGCCAGCTTTTGTTTTATAGTAAAGTGAATCTTTGACATTAATCAGCAGCAGATTCTAAAATTGGATTTGCCATGTTTTTTTTTTTTAAAAAAAAAAACCAAGACACAGAATAGTCATGGTTGTGTGTGAAAGTGTGTTAAAAGAGAGAGAGTTAATCTTGATTTTTTGTGACTACATAGACATCCATCCATTTTTGTTGACAAGTTTTTCAGAATGATTGCTTTCTTCCTAGGGCTGAGAAATAATGGCCCAAAGTCAACCAGCTGGCTTCTGTGACTGTGAGTCTTGGTGACCAGTGAGTTGAGAGGGGCTAATTTTCTAACTTAGTTTACCTTAAAGAAGGGGGCTGTCGGAGGCTGCATTGAATTTACAGATTGAATGGCTGTGCTCGCTGCTGTCCTAGATGCCCCCCCCCCCTCGGATCTATCTCTGCTCACTTACTATCCGTTACCTACCTTATCATTTGCCATCTGCTGCTTACTATTTATCATCATTGTAGCCCCCTCCGGACCTTGCTCCCTGCTCACTTAACCATCAGGAG